CTGTGTGTGCATAAATATGATCTCTGGGATAATAACTAGTACAAGATACTCACAAAGCTGCAAATTCATCAGCGGAGACTTGTCATATTACTGCATGTGAACACCATGTTCAAGTATTTGTAGGGTAAACTGTTGATGCTATGCATGACGGAGGTGAAAAGAGGCACCCAAGGATCAGCAGAGGACTGAGTCAGGTTCTTTATAAACTTTTTGAATATACTGATATAAGATGATCTATCTTGTATATGTACTGTAGACTGTAAACTGTCTATACCAGGGGTGGGCAACTCCAGCCCTCTAGCTGTGCTTTAACTACAAATCCCAACATGCCTCTGCCTTAGGGAGTTATGTCCGTAGGTGTAAGTCTTGCAATGCCTCATGGGATTTGTAGTTCCACAACAGTTGGGGGGCCAGAGTTGCCCACTCCTGGTCTATACTAGACCACATGCAATGCAGGGAAGAATGGTACACATTATGTAGTGCAATCTTAGACATATATATTATGACCTGTACTTGAACAAATTCTAAATACAGGTCAAATTCCTGAGTACACACTGCACTGCACAAAAACAAAGGGGTCAGCATATTTAATCTTTTTTATGGGGGAGTAAAAAGCTATAATCTTTCCAACAAACTTTTCCTAAGCTGTCTTCTGATCCTTTTATTTCTCCAGGTTTACAGTATGTTCTGTTGCTAAAACAGACACAGAAAAGGATGAATCATGCAAGCGTCACTGCTGTGCTTAATAGCAAAATCAGATAAACAGAAGTGTATAGTTCAGGACAGAAGGCGCTATACCATTTGCTCACCTGACATCTTACAGTAACAGTGACTCTACTAATGACATTTAGCGGGGCAATTATACATAGATTTAAAGATGTGGACGAGATCTAGCCAGTGATGTCTGAACTTCAAGCCTTTTGCAGGATTCTCTCTCAGAGGAATCATAGGTACACAGAGAGAATAGATGTCTGTGTCCTAAATTTGACAGGTTCAGCTGATGTTGGGCTGTCCAGATAATATTACATAAGGTCAAGTTAGTTTTGGAAGAAATATCCCTTAAATAGATTGTAAATTTTGGGTTGATTACCCACTGTAATGCCATGCCAGTGCAGAGATAAGCAATTTGCACTCCATGCATGCACTGTACGATAGGATTTCTAAAGTGTATTTGTATATAAAGAATCATGTTGTTTCTTTAGCTACCTTCAGAGTTATTTTCATTCTCACATCATTCAATAAGGTACTGACACTAATTTTAAGATCTGCTACCTCTGTTATTGACCAGGGAACCAGTGTCAAAGGTTTAAGCCTGTTTTATCTTTGCAAACTCAAAAGTACCCACAGCTATAAGATCACACCCAGCTGTTATGTACATGGATAGCACCCCTAACTGGCTGGGTTGAATTTGTTTTGGTTGATGACTACTGTTTTCTCCAACATAAGGCTGGCATCAAAGATGTGTCTACTCCATTACATCAACATGCACACCTAGATAATATGACAGGCTAGTGTTTTGGTGTATTGTCAGCTGTCACGGTGTGAAGAGGATTTGGTGCCCCCCAGGGTTCTCACCTAAGCTGGTTGAAGTGCTCCGGGATGCGTGTTTCATACGATGGAAACTGACTTTTCAGTTTTCTACAGGTTTGGTAAATTCAGGTCTGGGTCCTGGAGCTCAGAAGCTTTGTAGAGTATTGGAAGGGATGAAGCCTCTTCCTGGGTCCACATTTTGCCAGTAACCAGTGCACTGATTGAGCTGGTGTGTACAGAGTTTTTGCATGGGAACTAACTAGGGTTTAGGGCTCCACCATGAAGACAGAGGAGGACTCCACCCCAGGAGTCAGGAGGGCTTCATCCAGGAGTCAAGGTGGACGCCAATGCAGCAGGAAGCTGTGAGACCATATGCACAGAGTTTGAGGACTGTTTTTTAAATAGACAAGGTCTGAGGTTTCCAAATACTGTTAAAAAACGTTATTGGAACTTTTTGTGTGTAAATAATCTGTTTATTTGTTTTTTTTATCAGTATTTGGAAACCACTATAACTATGTATTGAATAGCTGAGATTGTTGTAATTAGCTTATAACAACTGTATATAAAACACACATACAGAAACAGGACTGTTTTTTACATATTCATTTGTTTTATGTGATATAGGAATACCACCCACTCCCACCATATTCTACTGCGAAACAAGTCAAATATACCTTTTTCCCATCAGAGAATTCAGCAATGAAGGACTGATTACCAATCATTAACAATAGGAGAATGGACAGTATGGTTCAGCTGATGGGTAGGGTAATATAGGGCCTAATGGTGTGGAGAATTATTAAAGTAACAAGGATAGAAAGTATCACATAGGTTCAAATGTTGTGTTCTGTTGGCTTAACCATGTGATGTTCACTTTTCATTATATGAAACCGCTAAATTACTCATCCACTCCCTAGGTATCTCCCGTCTAGACTATTGCAACTCCCTCCTTATTGGCCTTCCACTACACAGGCTATCCCCCCTTCAGTCTATCATGAACGCTGCTGCTAGACTCATCCACCTAACCAACCGCTCAGTGTCTGCAACCCCCCTCTGTCGATCCCTGCACTGGTTTCCAATAGCCCAAAGGATAAAATTCTAAATATTAACAATTACTTATAAAGCCATCCCCAACTCTGCCCCAGATATATCTCAAGACCTCCTGCTTTCCAGCTCCCTTGTCAACTCCTCCCATAGTTGCCTCCAGGACTTCTCTCGAGTCTCTCCCATCCTATGGAACTCTTTACCCCAACCTGTCCGTCTATCTCCCAACTTGACTGCCTTTAGGCGATCCCTAAAGACTCGTCTCTTCAGGGAAGCCTATCCCACCTCAACCTAACCACTGAACTATCACGTTCTCAAACAATTCATCCCCACACAGCTACCTCTTCATGTATCACTTGCCCCTCATTTTTAGATTGTAGGCCCTCCTTTCCATCTTGTCTTGAATTGTATTGTGAATGTAATGTCTTCCTTACATTGTAAAGTGCTGCGCAAACTGTTGGCGCTATATAAATCCTGTATAATAATAATCATAATAATATGGACCTGTTTTAATGATAATGATTTTAAAAGAGAACTATGGGGTAAGTGTTTTTTCACATAGTTTTCTTAAGGGTCATGGGAGGACATAGGCTAGCGTCCTCCCGTAACCCATAGCTCAGTATATCGCGAGCTACAGCTCGCGGTATACTGAGACCAGCGCAGCCGGGATGGATCCTGACAATGATGTCGAGATCCACCCAGCTGCGTGAATGACAGCTGGCTCTGACTATCTAGAGGCAGAGCCAGCTGTGCCCGCCTCCTTCCCCAGTCTGTTCCGCCAGTCAGTGCTGGAGGGGGGAATCTCTGCGGGGAGCCGTGACTGACAGTCACTGACACTGCTTTCTGCAGAGAGATGATCGAGAAGTGAGCGAGCGACGGTATTTATTGTCACACGTCAGCTCAAACTATGAGGATGAGTGATTTTCACTCACCGCATAGTTCTCCTTTTAAGATTGTAAATAAAAGGAGAGGATATTATGAAGATATTGTGTATGTGTGTCATTGATATAGCACCTGAAAAATCCCATTCTGATTGATATTAGAAATGTGGTTGACCATTTAACTCTCAACAAAAGTTTTTACTCCATAACAAGCAATCAGCATTTCACTTTTCCGTACGTTTTTAGAATGCCTGTCTTTTCTAATCCGTCTTAAATCACATTAGATGTCGATTAGATACTTGCATAAATGCAGTTTACCATAAATCTGCTCCATAAGAGTTAAGATGCAGACATCTATGTATGATTTTTTTTAAGTCTTTCTCCAGGGAGAAAAAAAGAAAAACCTGTTCCAGCGGGACTACCCCCGCACTTCAAGTTTAAACTGCTCAGTAATGTCTAGCGTGGCTGTGTATTTTTTTTTACTTATCTGATCCCTACTCCCACATACTCCATGACTGGCACTCACAGCCTCTTCCCCTCCACTCCTGCAGTCGGAGGGCCTTATAGCCTTGTATAATATGTGAGGACAACGAAGGACAGTCCACAAGCCAGAGCATACAGGATAGAGGTGAGCACCAACTACCAGGGAAATTGAAATTTGGTAAGTAAAAGTCCTTTACATAGGTCCCCTGCAACTAACGAGCAGTAAACCCAAACAGTGCGGGTGTAGCCCCACTGGAAGGGGAGGGTTTTTTTCCCCCCGAAGATAGGCTTTGACGTGTATTTCCACTTTTGCATTCAAATTAGGATAACACCTTCTTTATATTTGTTTTATGTTTCCATTCATATACAGTAGCATAACCTAAAAAAAATTAAAAAATTGCTGCTTACATTTTTAAGTGCTTTTTACTTGCTTGAAAATCTTACTTAGCGTCCCCTCCTATGCAATGTTAAGGAAGGGGCTGTGGGAAGTTATGTTTACTCTAATTAACCTGATCTGAACTGTGCTGGCAGATTTCATTATCAGTTGTAAAGTAGATCTGAGCACCATCTGTCCTAACAAAGGGTTAAAGACTTAGAATCATTGTATGTTAATGAGAAGAAATGTCAGTCTGTCCCTCAATTTGTCCCTCTACTTTCACTTTCAAACTGCTCAGAGAAGGCTGCAATCGGAACAAAGGCCGCAATCGGAACAAAGGCCGCAATCGGAACAAAGGCCTTCACCAAAGAAACATATAAAAGGTGAGAAATATTTTAAAAATAATAATTTTTGGGGGGTATGCTGTGTGAATGGGAACACAAGACAAACATATAATGGGGTTTTCCCAAATTTGACAGCAAAGTGGAAATATCTTCTCTTCAGTTTGGATATATATATACAGTATATATTCTACTAAAACAGAGTTCAGTGTTTTATATCAAGCAGTAACAAGTGCCTTTCTAGTACTCCTACAAAACGAGATAACGTTTTACATTACTGTATGATGAGGTCATAGAGCTCAAGCTTTAATCAATAATTTGAGCTTGGCTGGCAAATCATTCCCTTACCTCATCTGGGGGAACCACAGCTAGGGGCTTGATGACAGCAGCAAGAGGAACCTGAGCTTGTTTAGCCATATCGGATGTAGTAGGAAAGCAGTATGTTGTGCACCTTATGTATCGTGGGCTGGCATTCCCTGCAATGTATAAAATATTTCAGTATGAACAATGGACAGCTGAATTTCTCAATACTGTTTACACACAAACCTAATATAACACATTTTAGACTGATTTACACCTATGCATGATTTTTTCATGCATTTCATACATTGGGAAGACATATAAGCCGGCAAAAAAAATTGTCTTGTTTCGTATTTTAAATTTTTTCGGGAATCGGGTCCGAAAGTCAATTCGGTTCGGGATTCAGATTTGGACGAATCTGCAATTTTCATTCATTTCGGATGTGACATTAGAAAAAAATAATGAAATTTTTCTTTTGACAGTCCAAAGAAACAATAAGCATGCCCCCCACAAGTCATACCAGACACTTTAGATCTGGTAGGAATTTTAGGGGGGACCCCAATGCAAAAAAGGTGAGGGTCCCCCTTAGAATCCTTTACCAGACCCTTGATCCGAGCAGTAGCCTGGCAGTAGAAGGAAAGGGGGGGGGGCGTGCGGTCCCCTCTCCTGCACCATACCAGGCCAGATGCCCTCAACATGGACAGGGTGCTTTGCCAGGGGGGGACCCCCAGAATGAATTTCGGATAGTTTGTCCGAGTTTCATGTCTAGTCCTCAATGAGTCTCAAAGCACGTTAAAATGTGCCTGCAAACTGCATTCACATCTGTGTGTTGCGTTGCACTGTAGCACAGATGCATCTGTTATTACATGTGTGTGTTGGAGTGCTATTACAAATGAATGGCAGTGTGCCGGAATGTACATATACCACACATTTAAGTGGGGGTTTTAGCGTGCATGACCACATGCGCATAGATGTAAATCTGCCCATCAGGTTATACATGCATATCTATGTGCCGTAGCTGGGTCACATTTTACCTCAAATATCAAGAAACAGGCAGAGGGATTATTCATCCCTATGAGAAAAGTTTACAAAGCTGTGTGTCAAGATGGTCCGACCAAGACAACATAAGACACAACAAAGAAAGGATTAGGGCGTGAAGGAAAATTTACATCTGCATGTTGTCATGCAAGCAAATAAATAATGTAATAGGACCAGATGTCTGTCCGGACTCCCCCAAAGTAAAATATTCTGTGGCCCACCCAGCAGGCATAATGAAGAAAACCAAGGCTGTGAAAGGCCACAGATTCAAGGGAATAACTACTTAAAGTATATATGTCTAACAATTGTCAGAAAACAAAACACTTATATGTAGTGTGATAAGACCATCATTCCTATGCTTTGGAAAATATATACCCGATTTCTAATGCGGGGTCAATTCACTAGAAAAATACAAAAATTATTTTGGGTTCTTTGGGACGGCTGAGAAAGACAGGTCCTGAACTGTCAGCCTGAGCACTCCCTGACAGTGGAGGGATATATTAGTAATTCAACGTTAGTGATATGTGTGTGAGAGTTGTAAGGACATTTGATCTTCCTGAGAAAAAAAAAAAGCTTACCTTGATCTTGTATTGTGTAGTCTGTAGTGACGAGTGGAGGGACCTGTCCTCTGATATTGGTAGTATACACTTGTCCAGCTCTGCTGACTTTATCATTCTCAATCACTTGTATCTGGTAAATATTACATTGATTATTATTACATTGGTTTAATTCATTGGTATTAACACTAGAGCTCTAATAGCACAACATAAGGGACACACACATGGCATAGGGACTGTAAAGACTTACATTTCCCAAAGGTGTTCTGTTTAAAGAATGATAACATTTCATCAAAAACGTTTTTTTTTTAGTTATTGTGAATTGCAATTTGAGGAAATACATATAATGACCTATGCAGCCAGGGGGAGGCTTCTTCCTTACTTGTGCTTCACAATATGACTACAATTAGGTGAACATCAGGGACATGCAGTCAGGGGAGGCAGAGCCTCACCTAGTATTATGGAGGAAAAAGCTGTCAGCTTCAAGTGGCTTGTAACAGGTTACACAGCAGGGAAAGCCTCCCTGCTGTATAACCTGTCATGGACGGAGCGTTGCCTGCTAATTACAGACTGTGCTGCATCCGGCTTATGACAGGTAGTTAGGTTACACAGCAGCAGGCTTCCCCACTGCTTGTGTAACCTAACTAGTGTTGCCAGAGCTGCAAACAGCCTCTACTCTGTGTTAGAGGCGTGAGCTCTGTGTATGGCTTGGACCAATAGCAAAGCGCCATTGGTCTAAGCTGTCCAAACAAAAACACTGAGGCCATCGATCTCAATGCCTCAGCAGTGATGAGCAAGTGAAGGACAGGGAGGCTCCTCCCTCCCTCCTTCACACTAGCTTGGGGCGGGGCTTCAGCAGGATGGGGGTGTGGCTTTGGCTGGATATGGGTGGGGCTTTGGTGTGCTAGGGGAGAGGCTGGGGAATGCCTCACCCAGAACCAAAGGTACCGCACGCCACTGGTGAACATGCACAATGCTCTACCCCCAACCTATAATTCCCAATACTATTCCAATATGATTATAATAAATATCAGCTTATTAAAATAATCAAAACATACTGTATATGTGTGCCAAAAGATTATCTCCAATAACAGTGTAATTAGACAAAGGAGTTGATTTACTAAAGGCAAATGGGTTGTTCACGTTGCAAGGGAATTTTCACTTTGCAGGGGAATTTTCCGTTTTCCGCTTGGTGAATGAAGTGAAGCTCTGCTGACTCTTTTCATCCAGTCATGTGCAAACAAAAATATATTTTTTTTACATTTTCCTTGCACATGATTGGGTATTTTTTATAAAGAGACTTTTCACCATATATGTTTTGAGATTATTGATATATGCTAATGTTATTATTATACAGGATTTACCTAGCGAATTGCACGAGTATTGGTTCAATACATCTATTTTTTGTGAAGAAAAATCTTCCAGTATGTTAGAAACCTTCTCGCTTTTGAGGGCATAAGAGCCTGAAACGATCTGCAAAAAGAGCACTTACTGGACTAGGTATGGAGTCTGGGTCGAGTTTCTTTTGAGGTGGCCCGGACATTTGTTGCTGGCTTCCAGGAAATGCACCAGGGTAAGGCGTTGGAGGTCCAGGTAACTGAGCACCATAACTGTTTACTGTAATGATACCCCAAATACATTCAATATATGTTCTCTATGATTGTTTCCATCAGCTTAAAGTGTAGTTCCACTTTCGCAGCCAAATTGGAATAACAACTATTTTATATTTCTTACAATGTTCCTATTCTCATAGCATAAGCTAAAAAAATTATTTTACTTGGGTTAGGGTTTCAAGGGTGAAAATGTATTCTAGCTTCTATTTCTTTGAAATGTTAGAAGGGGCTGTGAGGGTTGAGGGGTCTGAAGTGACTTGTCCATTGTATGTTAATGAGGACAGATGACTGTGAATGGGATAAGAAAAACCTGGAATCAGCCATCTTGCCCGATGTAACAAAACATCTAAAAAGGTAAGTTATTTTTTAGTATGCTGTGTGAACAGTAACACATAAGGAACATATAGAGGGGTTTTCTCAAATTTGACTGCAAAAGTGGAAATACACTTAAAAGAAAATGTGTACTTTTAAGCAATGGTAGCTATATGTTACATTCTGTATATACTGTATGTCCTATATGCTAAAAGGAGGGGCATACAGATTAGATAGACAGAAGAGCACCAAAGGATGAGAAGTTTCAGGTTATTGTCTAGAGAGGGCTTGGGCTTCAAAAAAATCTTGTATGCATTGTTTCAGCTGCCTATGACCTTATCAGCAAACAACAGAGGGTACAACTCTAGTACCTGGAGGTGTCATATACTCAGGCACAAGCCCAACAGCAGTTTGCGCCTGCAAGCAATGACAGAGGATCCATGCCAATGGAAGACATGATCTTCCACTTCCAGGATCTTGTATCATTTCAGTGCAGACACAAGAGTTAAGTTCACATTCTGTCAGTGTGGAATGAAAAACTGACATCAGATAATATTTACAGGTATATATTAAAAAATGTGTTCGAGGGAAAAACACTGTTGTTTTTGTTAAAATCCTAGAAAGTGGTGAGGTCTTGTGCCGAAAGGAAATTATTGTAAAAACTCAGGAAGTATGTTGGGCGGGTAAAATTAGTGAAATAATTTCTCTCATATTTGCTTGATTTCGGAATCTGGCCATACACGCACGTTTGTGGTAACTTACATGAATCATTTCAACAAATGAAGCCCATTTTATTGTAATGCCTATGAAACAAAAGATGTAAAAATGTTTTCAGCTGTAGACATTTAGAGCAGCATATGTAATGCTTTCTCTCCTTCCAGATGAGACCCAATCTGTCAGCTGCAGGATGACATCTCTATATAGTAAGTCAGTGTGTGGTGGGCAAGAGGCCCACAATTCATTCAGTCATCACTTTCCTGGCTTAAATACATTTTACCTCCTAGTACCTCTGAGAAATGTTCATGTCATAGCTTTAGTAGTGTATTCCAACAAATTGTCTTTAGCATGAGAGCACTGTGACTAAATAATCATGAGTAAGCCTGCCACTCACGAAACTAGGAATACATTATGCTCTGTGATTATGTTACCCTGGATACACAACATTTCTCTTACGATATAAAAGGAGCCTGGTTTAGTGGATGTGGACTTTATGTAGAAGAATGGAACAACCAGTAGAAAATGGGAACTCAAACTGAATTTATAGTCATCAGCTTGCCCTTCATTATAGTCTTTTAGTGAAGTGGCACTTAAGATCATTTTTTTAAAAATTTTGGACAGTAAAGCCAAAGACTGAGGCTTTCTTGTATGTAGAATGGAACACCAAGAAGGTTCAGAGTCTGTCTGGTGTGTATTGCTCTCTGTGTCCTTGGTGGGGATATTTCAATACAGTAATACCTTGGTTCACGAACGCTTCTGTTTGTGAACAATTCGGTTCACGAACAGGAAGTTCAGCAAAATGTTGGTTCTGTTCGTGAACTCCAAATCAGGTGACGAACACAACCGCGGCCATCTTCCCCGCTCTGACATGTGGTCGTGGCTTCCTCTAGTTGAGATCGCAGTCAGAACGGGTTAACCTCATTTACATTGAATCTTATGGGGAAATTTGATTCTGTTTGCGACCACGTTCGTAGGGGTCAGAACGGATTAACCTTATTTACATTGAACCTTATGAGGAAATTTTATTCGGCTCGTGTCCAGAATCGTGGAACAAATTAAGTTCATGAACCGAGGTACCGCTGTGCTTGCTGTCCTATGGACAGTAGTCGCCAAGACAAAAGAGACAATTTTTTTATTGCAGGGGTGAAATTCTAGAATCACTTTTAGATTTTCAGTGCTGTTTAATACCCATTAGTGAAGTTTACTCTCACTTTTTGTCTCTGTGAAAGCAATCACTGGAACAAGAAGTAAATGGAAACCTGCCTTGGTAACAGTAACAGGCCTGTCAGTGGTTCAAACTTTTCGTCACTCAATACAAAATTAAAAAAAAAAAGTTTGGGCTGAAGTTCCATTTTAAACATAAGGATACCACAGTTTTTTGACAAGCTTAATACAAGCCATTTACTTATCCTCCCACCTTGGTGGAAGAGCATCATATTATACCAGCCCGAAAGCTAGGAAATGCTTGAATCCACTTCCTCAACATGGATGAACCTACTTGATTATTAACATAACTGTATATGAAGTTTATTTATGACAAAGAAACAAACCTCTCTAATTTACCCAAATATTTATCACCAAAAAGCAATAAAATTACTTGCAATCAACTGCCATTTTTACCTGCAAGTTACTTTGAATAACTACTAGTTAGCTAACAACAAACAATAACTTAAAAGTAGCACCGTCACCACAAATGCTCCCTGTAAAAGATGGATGCTTACATTTCTGGTAGGCAGTGACTACTATGTGTGATCTCTTCTAGAGCTACGGCAGCTGAAGAATATTCAGCATTCGGCACACTTTCCGGGAGTGTGAGATGCCTGGTTCCCCACTGTTCTCTGTGTTTCCAGTCAACGACCCCTATGTCAGTTCAGGACACAGGGCGCCTGGTGTATGGAACCACTGCAAGAGACCAGACACTTCATACACCTGAAAGTGTGTCAGATGCTGAAGATGCCTCAGCTGGCATAGCCCCTGTAGAGGGTGAAGATAGAAGTCACTGCTCTCTGGAGAGGTAAATATTGTTCATCTTTTGCAGGGAGCTTTTTTTTGCTTTTATTATTGTGGTGACAAGAGTTTATTTAAGGCAGAATGTGTAAAAATACACACAGCCCATATCCAAATGTTTTATAATGATTGAAATATATTGATACTGTTTTATTTAGAATGAGGAAAACTAGAGTTGTTGTCTATAGGGACCAATCAGAATACTTGTATAATTTTTCCATAAAATGAACACTGAAACCTGATTTGTTGCTACTAGAGATAACTTCAGTTTTAATTTGTCTGCCTCCTATATATCTTTTCACTGCTCTTCAGGTAGCAGATTTTATCAGCTGTAAAAATTATCTAACAGAAGCTTTTCAAGAAAGAAATAAGTGGCTACACTTGCTAACCTTCCATTCTGAGTAGGCTAAATGCTGATTGCTTTGGCTTCAGAAATTCCTGGGTAACTGACCTGCAACAGGTATGGCATACGAGTCTGTTTTTTTACAACTTTTTTTTTTGCTGCATGCATTTTTCACCTCTCAGCCAGATCATTAGTATCTTCCCAAAAAAAACAGCACCGTCCCCATATTTGTTTTATAACAGGTGTACTTTAGTTTGTTTTTGTCATCTACCAAAAATTTGAAAACACAAAAGTTCTTACAATTCTGTGGTGGATATCCAAGATTGGAAGGCTGGCCCGGAACTTGGGGTTGGAACTGATGATGTCCAGGAATTCCATCTGGCATACCGCTATGATGTAAAAGAGGCTCAGAAGGAAGACCATTGAGGCTGTTGACTGATGGAGGAGATGTGTGGGGACCGGGCACCATAGCTAGTGGCTGAGATGGAAAATTTCCTGGCATAACTGAACTAGGTGGCATCTGAGAGTTACTTGTGGAAGTGGGACCTGTAAAAAAAATGAGGTGTGAAAATACTCATTCCTGCACCTATTTAAATCAGTTATAAGCAATAACTAGAGTAAGCAAACATTACATTAATTTTCATGCATAAAAGTCAATATATCAACTAATTCTAATTCTTACATCTGACTCCAGACAAATAAAAACAAAACACAAGCATTGTGCAGATGCTGTATAGTAAATATAAAACCGTTTTAAAAAAATGACCCAAAACCATTATAGTTTTTGCTCTATTGCAATATTGTAGCTTTGATTGATACGTAGCTTTTAAGGAGAACTGTGAGGTGAGTGCTTTTCACTCACCTCATAGTTCTAGCCGACCTGTGACAATGAGACTGTCACAGGTCGGCTTAGTAGATCGGGAAGTGAGCGAACACATACCGGCGTTCGCTCACTTTTCGATCCTGTCACGGCTCTCTGCCGTGACAGGGGAGGGGCTGCATTCCCCCCTCCCCGATCCTCCAACGCTGACTGGCGGAACAGACGAGGCGGGTACAGCTGGCTCTGCCTCTAGATAGGCAGAGCCAGCTGTCACTCACGCAGCTGGGCGGATCCAGACATAATTGTCGGGATCTGCTTCAGCTGCGGCGTCTCAGTATAACGCGAGCTGTAGCTCGCGGTATACTGCGGCGTCTCAGTATACTGCGAGCTGCAGCTCGCGGTATACTGAGCTTAGGGTGACGGGAGAACGCTAGTTTGTGTCATCCCGTTACCCTAATGAGAACTATGGGGAAAAGCTCTAACCCCATAGTTCTCCTTTAAACACAGCTAGAATAAGTACCTGGATCTACTTCCCTGCACAATGCTGAAATATCATGCTTAAAGGAGGGGAGAGCACAGGAATGACCTCATCAGTATGCAGCTATTCCTTCATTGTACAATTACCAGGCAGTGCCAATGAGGTAACACCACTGTATTGTAGTTACCTTGAGCACATAAAAGCTTTTGCGGGCAAGTTTATCATGCTTTCAGTGGTATCTGCCATTGGCAGCTGACATTGCAATAAAATATGAACAGAAACAAAAGATTACCATAGCCGCCTAATTGCATGTTGTTCAGCTGGTTGGTCACCTGATGGACTTGGGGAGGTGGTGCACTGTTGAACTGTGAAGGAGGCTGCCCAAACGTCGAGTAAGAAGGTGAGGTGTTGCTGGTATTGGGAAGTCCAGAAGGCCTGATAAAGAAAAAAGTTAAATACAGAACCACAGACTACAGAACATAAAGCATACATTTGGCTAAAATATACCTTTGCATGTTTGTGGTTGAATTTGGTCCATTATATATATTATTTTGAGGGGGTGGTGGAGAGTTCAGTGGACCAGAAGATCCAAAGGGTCCGGCAGGTTTCAACCCACCTATAAGAAAGTATACACATCTTGTATTATTGTAGGTTTTATTTATATAAACTGGACACAGATGCAGGACACAAACAGTGTAAAAGGCACCACAGATAGAAAGAACAACAATATACAATCCACATGAAATAAAGGCCGTGCAGGCCCAGCATATCTTGAGAAAATGGCATTCTGAATGTCTAAAGCTCAGTATTAAAAACTGTATCACACATTTATTAAACTAGAAACATCTTTATCCATGTTTCATTTTATGAACTACTCTAGGAGAAAAGAGAGATTCATAGGAAAAAGAGAGCAAAACGGAGATAAAAAAAAGAAAAAAGCGGGAAGGGGGGTATGGGTTGATTAAAGGTTAGGAAAGGAGGGAAGGGCAAATGGGTGAGCAGACAACCAGAGAAAACAAAACAAAGAAAAAAAGGTGACACATTATGTCCACATATGGTTAAACTGTTTCTCTCTATGATACAGAGAGGCAGTGAGACCCTCCATGTTCCTAATTTTGCCCACTTTAGAGAACCATAGTTGTAATGTGGGGGGAGCATCTCCATAGCAAAGCAATGCAGGCTCTAGCTGGGTTCACCAGATGGATCAGCAGTGAGAGTTTACCGGCGATTCATGTTATCTTTGTCCTGTAAATATAAAGCCTGACTGGGAAATGCTTCCTCAGTGCCCTGATGTTGTCAAAGACATAGATAACACAAGGTAAGCTGAGTGATATCATAAGTTATGTGGTGTCACTGGTAAAAAGGCAACAGTTTCCAATGCTGATTGCTGGACATTTATCAAGGTGTTATATGGCTGTTCCAAGTTTATAGAGTAACAATTTACTTAATTAAGAATGCTATTTAGGTCCATTCACACCAACCACTGCGCTACATCACAAAGCAGCTGGTGTGTGTTGCCATGCACAGTGCTGATGCGCAATCCCGGCACATTGCACTGTTTTTTTAGAAATTTATTAAAATGTCATAAGTGACATTTCATTCAAAGAGAACTATGAGGTGAGTGATTTATAATTAACCCCTTATTTAGAGCCGACATGAGACATTGAAATTGTCAGACATCGGCTGTATTGATCGGGAAGTGAGCAATCGCATACCGTCGCTCGCTCACTCCCCGATCATCTCCCTGCAGAGTGGTGACTTCAGTCACGGCTCCCCGCAGGGATTCCCCCCTCTCCTCTCAGATCCTCCAGCGCTGAGTGGAAGAACGGACAGGGGAGAAGGCAGGCATAGCTAGCTCTGTTTCTACATAAGAAGAGCCCGATGTCAATCAGCCAGCTGGGTGGATCTCGGCAGTATTGTCGTGATCTGTCCCGGCTGCAGCGCTCTCAGTATATAGCAAGCTATAGCCCACTATATACTGAGCTTTGGGTGACGGGAGGATGCTAGTATATGTCCTCCATTGACCCTAAAGAGAACTATGGGATAAAAAGGTTACCCTATAGTTCTCTTTTAAGTTTTATGGGCACAGCATGGTGCAAGGCGGTTGTATCGTGTTGCATGCAGTACTTTTTTTCTGCGCTCACCACCACAACACGGTGAAGCGTCACCAAAGGCAAGCACTGTAAAAAAAACGGGCAATGCAGTCCAAGTGCATCTGGTGGGAATGGGCTCTTAGACCCACAGTGTCACAATCCCAAAACTAATTGTTCTTAATTTAGAATGTGCAAAAATAAAGTGGATTGCAAAATAAAACAAACCATCCTTGATTTTATATGTAAATTATACTGACCCATTTGAGGAGGTGGAGAACCAATATTTGGGCTGGCAAAATGTCCATAAGTAGGTGATGTGGGAGGAGGCCCATAGCCTGGTGGATAACCTGCCAACCCAGGCTGAGGTTGCGTATAAGGAGGAGGTGCCACATAGCCTTGCTGACTCATTCTGATGACACTTTCATTAGATGCTGCAGGATCTCAGATTATCTGCAAATCAAAAGAAAAGGCCTTTTGTAAAATGTGTACATGGACTACAATGTCTGTCCTCTGTAATCAGTCATATGTAGTTATATAAGGCAGATATTGTAACCATGATAAACCATTACTTGAAATTACTTCTACAGAAGTAAAGAGAGGAAAGGGACATGAAGGTAAACAAATACGACACTGTTACATTAGTTTCGCGATACAAAAAAGTTATAGACAACTATATTTTTCATTCTTCCCACCACCAACCGTCATGCCAGTTTTGTGAGCAAGTAGTATATGAAGCCAGAAAAACAGCGGGGTGGACCCTTTGTCCCTCAATGGACTCAAAAAGATTTGACAGCAAGTATAAGAGTCTAATTTTTTTATTCTACATTGATGGACACAGGATTGTTAGAATAGTCTATGCCATGTGGGACATCTAAAAGCAGTCCAACTGATTGGTGAGCAGAGCCACTACAAAAACCAACTGAAGTTTTATTAGCATGAATGTCTAACAATTCATCAAATAATGGAGAAGGACATTGTCAATGGGACACATATAAGATAAACCTGGTGTTCCAGATTAGGACTGACAAACTCCAAGAGGAAACTGGTACTTGAAGGACCAATTAGCCTCTACCAACAATCTGGAAGACAACCAATCATCCACCTTATGGAAAATACAGATGGAACAATACTAACCAAACAAGAAGGTCACATAGACTATCAGGTTATTTGGTCAACAAAAACAAAATCATTTACTAATGTAATCCTATAATCTATAGGACCCTATGGGCAGCTTCAATTGTTTTGAGAAGATGTGGATATGTGGAGATAAGGGACAGACTGGAAGGAAATGACAGAGACAGTGAAATAACATGCAATGTGGGGAATGTATCAAAGCTTACGCAGACAGTGCTCATTGATGCATATCCCTTCTGTCAATGTTGTTTATTGTTGTAAAATTCCAATAAAAATTATTGTACAAAAAAAATCTGAAGCAGACAGAATCTGGAGCAGTTGCCCATAGTAACCAATCAGCTTCTCTTTTCAGTTTCTTCACTTACGCTTTGAAAATTAAAGACAGAAGCTGACTGGTTGCCATGCACACCTGCTCCAGTTTCAATTTTGATACATCCCCTTGAATGTTTTGAGATCATTAACCCTTTCCTAAGACAGATAGTCCTGCACATCTAGTTAACCAATAATGACATTTGTCTGATAATGAAATCTTCCAGCACAGTATAGGAAGGGTTAATTATGACAAACACAACTCCCCTGCCCCCTCATACATATTTCAAGGGACTTTTAAATGCAGATCCTCCAGTATGTGAACATATATTAGAACTGACGAGTATTCAGCTTCAAAAAGATAAGGCACTTTTAGAGCTGCAGCTAAAGATTATTTTCAAAATCGATTAGTTAGCCGATTATTAAGTTCGATTAATCGGTTAATCGGATAGAAAATAAAATACATTTTTTAAAATGGATCCGGTGATGGGATTACTAGTTTGTATTGAGATTGCAGTCCATCACAGGAGCAAGCTTGGAGCGGTGGAAGTAAAAAAGAAAAAAAAGAAAGTGTGGTGTGCAATATAGTGAAATGAAAAGTGTAAAATTATATAGCAAATTTATTCTACTCTTTGCCAACTGAGATACTAAATGTGTCATTTTCATACTCTTAAGTGAATGTGAAAACAAAACCTTCCCTTATAGTACGAGTTTCCAATCATATTTAGGACATAGTGG